CCTGTTAAAAAGTGGGTGGGGGCATGGCTCCCCCTGGTTCTGGTGCCCTGGGCCCCCAGGGTGTGGGGAGCCCAAATATTTTTTTCAGAGTAGCAGCCGTGTTAGTCTGTATCCGCAAAAAGAAGAACAGGAGTACTTGTGGCACCTTAGAGACTAACAAATTTATTAGAGCATAAGCTTTCGTGGACTACAGCCCACTTCTTCTGATACTGATCAGAATCAGAGAGGGAAAATCTGTATGTGTGTATATATATCTCCTCAATATATGTTCCATTCTATATGCATCCCTGACTCAGTCAAACCCAGAGCTCCGTAGCATGGCTGCTCTTTGGGCATTAGGTGTCGCTGCAGGCTTTCTGGCTGGCCACCGACGTTCAGAAAAAGTTCAGTCAAATTAGGGCTCAAATCTACCAAGGTCTTAGCACCTTCTTGTAAAGTGCTGAGTTGCCCTTAATTCCCAATGGCATTAGTGAGTGAACTCAGGACACTTTTCCGGATCAAGCTCTCTGTCTTCAAAGAAGCAAGGTAAGTAACACATTGATACCTGACATCCTGCGTCAGGCTGCAACTTGTGGGTGCTAGTCTAAAGGTGCCAGGTTACCTCTCTTGGAATCAGAAAAATTGGAGAGGGAACAGACCTATTTGATCATCTAGGGGGAATTTCCCCCCTATACAGAGAACATCACAAGGCCGACACCCCACTTACATCCTACTTAAAGCCTCAAAATAGGGTTTAGTCTTGTGCTAACCTTCTGCTGGGGAGGGCGGAGGAGAGCACATACCAGTGTTGGTATGATCCACGAAGTGGCACAGACATGCATGGCAGATACAGGTCATTGTTATATTTTATTTTTGGTAGTTTCTTCTGCCTTGGACTTTCTTTATAGGTGGTTAATGGGAAGGCAGTGTGGCCTAGTGAAGAGCACTGGACTGGGACTCAGGAGCCATGTGTTCTCGGCTCTGCTACTTGTTGCTTGGGTGACCTTGGGCAGCTCACCTGACCTATGTGCCTCAGTTTCCTCATGTGTAAAATGGGGATAATGATTCTGACCTCTTTTATAAAGTGCTTTGAGAGCTATGGATGAAAAAGTGTTATATAAGCACTAGGGATTGTTATAATAGGAGCTGTGCCTTTAAGAACAGGGTGTGACAGACAGAGTGTGTTTGAGATTTTGAGCAGTGTGTGGGAGATTTTCCAACCTGTACAGAAAGCAGGAGGGCATGCCTGAGTTCCAGAAAGGTCAGAACTTGATTTAATAAACTCACCTTTCCAGAAAGTAACTTGATTCTCAATGGTGGCACATTAGCACTTATGGGGAATTGGCTGCTTCAGGGCACTGCTAATTAGCTACAGAGTTTTTCATCTGCAGCCACTAGGATGAACCCTGCCCAGTTTAACTAGGGATTGAAAGGAATCTGCCACTCTGCTTTGCTCGACTGTAAACTCTTCAAGGCGGGGACTGTCTCTCCATTTAAGTTTGTACAGCGCCTTGCACAATGGGGCTCCGATCTTGACTGGCTCCTTTAGTGGGAGCTCCTGATCAAAAAAATTTTTCCAATAAAAACCTTTTTCATCAGAAAATAAGAGTTTCATTAAATTAAATTTGTTGACATTAAAAAAAAATGTTGGGGGGAAAACCTGAGATTTTTCAAAATGAGAAATTTAATTTAAAAAATAACCCAGCAACAAAGTATTTTGGTTTTGAAATTGTGGGCTTTTTCCCTACTTCCCAGCCCTGTGCTACTGTTTTCCAAATGCCAGAAGTTGGGAAAACAATTTGTGTGTGGGAGGAAGAGGGGGGGGACAACCTATTTTTCACACCTTCATGGGTATGTCCCATAGTGACAGGGGTTAAATGTGTAGAAGCCTGTTTATTGTTTAAAAGTGATGTTTTGTCAGTTGGGAAACAATAAAAAGGAGTAAAAGTGGATTTTCTCCATTTTCCTAACACTTTTTTACTTTCCATTGGAGGGTGAGGGGAGATGGGTAAGGAGCTTAAAAGGGGCAGGAAAGGGAAGGAAACCCTCAGAACTAAAAATGATACCTTTACCTTTTCCCCCTTCCTCCCGGAATAATAAACCTGTCTCCATGGGGAATATAATCCCATTTTTTCAACCAGATCTAATTTGTAGTGACACCTTTAGAATGCAGCATGACATAATAGATTCCAGGTGATGTGTACATACATTTTAAAGAAATGTCACACGTGTGAAAGAGACTGCCCTCTGCTGGATGGGCTCAGAACGGCTTGACAGTGCATCAGAGGCCTTACACTGCTAACAGTTAATGGCGATTTTTCTTTACCCTGAATGGTAGGAGTTTGTGCTACAGCAGCAGGAGGTCTATAGGCGCACGGTGCAACATGAGGTGAGCGGAGGCGGGCAGGACGCGTGGCTGTGGTTTTTGCACCAAATTGTGGGTGTAGGAAGTCTCCCAGGCCAGTGGTAGATGTGAATGAGTGTTTGGGCTACAACTGGTGTCCTGAGACACCAAAGAGCTCCTTGCTGAGTGGGTCAGGCTCCTCCCTGGAGGTACCAAGCCTCAGGGTGTTCGATGAGGCCCGTGTCCAAGTGGATTGATACTTCTGGCTCATCCCAGGAATTCATGGTTGCCGTGGTGACCATGGGCCTGGCCTGGGTGGTTTCTGACTCAGCTCACCCAGCTGGTCCCATGCTGGATCTAGTATTTGTGATGGGGTTGGAAGAAAGGGGGACATGGCCTGGGTGGAGCATCACCTCCTGTGAATTGTGGTGGGCCCTTTCCTACAGGGTAGAAGGGCCTGTTTGAATGGTCTGGTCTTGGAGGCCGAGGGAGCATCAGGGAATCCAGAGAGGTCTGAGGAACCAACTCTCTTTTTATGAGTTACTTGGATCAGAGATCAGGGCCCCGTTGTGCGAGGCACTGTGGAAAATCAGAAGGCAGATCACCCTTTCAGTGGTTTGGCTGGCCCACATTACCGTCTTTTGTTCTTTACTAGTGATACCATGGCCCCTAACCACCGCTTTGGCTGGCTTCCCTCTTATGGGTCATCCTGGTTTGTAGATGAAACGAGAGGGAAAATGGCTAGTGCACCAGTGATGGGAAATCGCAGCTTGAATCTGACTGAACGTATGAACCATCTGCCAAGGTGGTGCAGTCTGAGCTCCATCACCCACAGGCTCCAATCCCCCTGCGAGCCACCCAGTCACATCTTTGCTTGGAAGAAAATATCGCCTCCCAGTTCCCATCCCTTTGTAGCTCTTTTGAAATCGACTAGTTTTTATTATGGTCGAATGTGAAGCAAATAAATAAATTACAGTGTCCAAGAAACGGGGCTATGTCTATAAATAAGACAAGAGTCGCGTTATTTACAATGTTCTGGTTCAAAAAGAGGCACAATAAATTATCCTGAGCATTTGGGGCCGACCGCCAGGCAGCCAGCTGCTTTAATATCCTGGAGCAGTCCTGCCTGGGCTTCAGCAAACACACGTGGCGGTAAGCCACGGTACTGAGCATTTGGGTGCTAAGAGTGCCCTGAGCAGCTGGCAGTGTGCACTCAAAGCACACCTAATACAATGAAAGAGAAGAGGGATTGAGCCTCACCTGTCCTCAACGGTCACAAACCCAGTTTGCTCTCCTGTTAAAAATACAATCGCTGGCTCTATTGTGAGATACGGGGCAAAACCACCAGATGCTGTTTCCTCTGACACGCGGTACATAATGCAGAGATGGAAGACACAACATAGCAACTACCGCTGGTGTCATAATGAGTGTGTGCGCCTGGCTGAGGGTGGGGGTAATACCGTGCTTGGTATAAAGACGGTGTTTGAAATCCAAAGCAAAATTTGTATAATGGGCCGAAGCAAAATCCCAGATCCAAACGCTGCCCTACGGAGAGAGGTAACTGAAAGCTAGGCCCAGATTTTGCCACTTGAGCGCACCTCTGCACGGTAAAGGTAATGCAATATGTGCATAGGGGTGGACTGAGGTCTTTGATCTGCGCTTTGCAGGCCAGGAGAGAGGCAAAAATGTACAAATCCTTATTGCAGCGACGCAGGAGGGCTGCCTGGAGGCACTTTCATTCTAAGCCCCAGGTGCTTACAGCTTTCAGAAAACTACCCCTTGGACTGATCCTCTAGTCTTACATTGACCTGGAAGGACCTGAGTCTCCTCTCATGCCGCTATGAACCAGGAATAACTCCATGGCAGATAATGGAGTTACACCGGTCGAGGATCGGTGAAAATAAGATGAGAATCAGGGTTCAGTATATAGGGATAGCAGCGGCGCTCCCATTGAAATCAATGAGAATTGTGCTTGTGGCAGTATCAAGCCCTCAATTATGGCCAACTGGACTTTTTTCTCCTTAGTTTGGTCAGATCCCCTTTACTTTACTGCAAATTTTAGTGAAGTATTTTTTTGTGCAGATCTGAACTTCAAACTTGACATGGAAATAAAATTAACTAGGGAGGCTACCAGGGAAAAAGTCATGAGTCTGATTCTCTTAACACTCCTCTCTCTGCCAGGGCTACTCTACCTGGTAGTTCAGCAGCGCCAGGGGGCTGATAAACCACAACAGCACTGCGTTTACATGCACTGATGTCTGGATCTGGATTTGAACTCTATGACTGCCCCCTTCTCCCCAATCTCTAATTTTAACCCCAGTCTTTCTGCTGGAAAGGGGCCAGGCTTTCTGGCATTTCAATAGAGAAAAGAAAGACTTGTGGGTTATCTGGTTTTACACACTGCGGCCCTAGCCTGGAAGCTGCCATGTGCAACTAGGGCAGGGGTTCTGAAACTGGGGGTCAGGACCCCTCAGAGGGTCACAAGATTATTACATGGGGGGTCGCGAGCTGTTAGCCTCCATCCCAAACCCCACTTTGCCTCCAGCATTTATAATGGTGTTATACATTAAAAACATTTTTTTACATATTTAAGGGGGGGGGGTCACACTCAGAGGCTTGGTATGTGAAAGGGGTCACCAATACAAAAGTCTGAGAACCCCTGAACTAGGGTGAACAGATGTCCCGATTTTATAGGGACAGTCCCGATATTTGGGGCTTTTTCCTAAATAGGCTCCTATTACCCCCCACCCACTGTCCCGATTTTTCACACTTGCTGTCTGGTCAGCCTGTGCGCAACTGACCTGATGAGCAGCAGGCCCTGGGTGTCTAGTGTGAGGTTGCCAGACAGTGGGTGTTGCATATCACGGACTCATCCTAGGCAGCGCCAGGTCAGTCCGGTATCGTCAGCATTCAGATAAAGAGCTTGATCTATTTATCCGGCTGGAGAAGCGCATGTGTGGAGCAGCTGCTTAACTCCCTGGTAGCTTCATTGGTCAGTCTTCTGCTTGGGCATAGCTGTAAACCCCCGCTAGTTCCATTGCAAGAGCAACGTCTGCAGCAGGGAATTCTCAAGCCACTTAGACCTCCACATCCACCGTGTCTTCCTCGTTGTTCTCGAGGTCCGTGGAGTCCGTAGGAAGAGGCTGCGTCCCTCCAAACTGCGCCAGCTTCGCTTTCTTCTGCTCCAGGCTTTGCTTTCTCCATTTGATCCTCCGGTTCTGGAACCAGACTTTCACCTAGGAGAGATTCAGCACAACGGGCAATGAAAACCACTCGCTCTGGGCCAAGGCTCGGGGGCATTAGAGCCCTGACCCTGCAAGTCTTTGAACTGCGCTAAAAGTGTCAGCAGGGCCCGATCCTGTAATCCCTCCACAGGCAAGTCCCCTTGACTCCTGGAGTTTCACCTGCAGAAGCACTTGGTGCTAAAAGGCTCTTGGCAACATGGGCCATGAAGATTATTAATAATAGTTATAAATAAAGCGGTGGCTCCTTTCTTTTGAGGCTCTCAAAGCACTTTACAGACATGGGGGGAGGGATAGCTCAGTGGTTTGAGCATTGGCCTGCTAAACCCAGGGTTGTGAGTTCAATCCTTGAGGGGGCCACTTAGGGATCTGGGGCAAAATCAGTACTTGGTCCTGCTAGTGAAGGCAGGGGGCTGGACTCGATGACCTTTCAGGGTCCCTTCTAGGAGATGGGATATCTCCATTAATTTATAATTTACCTAAGCCTGCCAACTGCCCAGCGAGGTTGGTAAGTGGCATTGTCCCTGATTTACAGATGGGGAAACTGAGTCACATGGCGGTCATGCCATCTGCACACAGACTATAGTGAAATGGATCACAAGAGTCCTGACTCCCCGTCCCTGGCTTTACCCACCGGACCCAAATTCCTTCCCCGAAACCTTCACCCTGATTGTGCTGTCTTTAAATTATAAACTTCCCAAAATGAGGAGTGAAATCCTGGCCGCACTGAGTCCGCGGCAAGACTCTCATTCGGCTCAGTGGGGCCAGAATTTCCCCGCCCCGCCCCGTGTAACCAAACTGTGTTTAAAATGAAATAAGCGGCTGTGTCGTTCCCAGCAGGCAGAGCCAAATCTCGGCTACCCTCCTGGGTCTGTCTTGGAAAGTGAGCCAAGATCTGGAAGCTCGTGAGCCCTGCAGTCGTGGATCCTGGCTACACTGCGGTAACTGTCACGCTGGGGGAACCCAGCTGCAAAACAGCCATTCTGGTTAAAACCGGGGTCATGCAGCATACACCGGATTAACCAGGGTTTTTTTAGCTGCGCCCCATGAAAGCCAATAGGAGTTTGGCCATTGGCTTTGATGGGAGCAGGGGGAGCCCCTTAGACTTTAGAAGGGCTGCAGCACAATTCGGGAGCACAGCGTGGTCCCATCTCCGGTGCTTTGACTTATGACATGGAGCCACCAGCTGGCAGATTCCATACGTGGGTGCCCCAGCTAGGCAGCTGTTTCAAGCTGGATGGGAATGTGCAATCTGGGGGTGCCTGAGCATGAAAATGGTATAAAAATAAATGTGACTCTGTCTGAATGCAGCTCTCCCTAAGCAGCCCCATGTGCCAGCCACCTCGGCACGAAGGGGGCGATTAGACCGGTTAAGATAAGGCCCGATCCTGCTCCTGATGAGGTCAATGGCAAAGCTCCTTCTGGGTCATCCAACCAGGAACAGCAATGATCAGCGAAAGCAGGAGAAGAGCTGGGGGACAGTGCTGCTGGCTTGGCAGGGTGGGGCCGACTCCTAGGCCTTCTTTAAAGTGACGCAAATCAGCGATCATGGAAAGAGTCCCCAGTTCCCAGAGGTCTTTGTGCCCCTCAGCCCCCATGACGGTCACATGCGCAGTGACAAAAACCAAGAATCATAGAAACTAGAGATGGAAGATGAGCTCATCTAGTCCACCTTCTCTAGCTAATTCAGAACTGATCCTTGCAGTACAATAAGACTTGCCAGGCTGCATCAAACCAGTGGCCCACCTACTCCAGTCTCCTGTCTCCAGCTGTGGCCAGTATCCGCTGCTGCAGAGGAACGATGGCCCCATTTGGACAATTGCACGGTAATCTTCCCATACAGGAAGGGTCTTTCTAACCTACAACACTTTGGCTGGCTTGGGCCCTCAACCAGGAGCCTCTATACCCCAAATCCATCCATTAAGTAGGCTAAAAATGCATCAGTGGAGGTTGTTATTATTCAGGCAAATTTCTAAGCCTATTTTGCCTCCTGCCTCAGTGATATCTTATAGGATAGGGCCACAGGTTAGCTATGCATCATGATTTGCCTGTGCTTTGTCTCATCTAGTTTTAAATATCCCTAGTCATGGGATTTCCCTTGGGAGACTAGACCCCGCAGGGACCCTCCCCGTTTCTGGGGAGAATCAGCTCCTTCTGACGGGAGCTCCTCACACTGTAACAGAGACAGAAGCCCTGAAACTTGCTAGGTGGCTCATCTCCTGCTGTCATTTCTGGCTGCAGTCCCAGGAAGGGACCATGCCTGGATCTCTGCCTGACCCCAGGGACCATGTAGAGATCCCAGATTGCTCATGGCCTCGGGGGAAGGGGGGAGATATCCTACCTGCGTCTCTGTGAGGTGCAGGGTGGCCGCCAGATCCACCCGCTCCGTGCCCACCATGTATTGCTGTTTGAGGAATTCCTGCTCCAGCCGCTCCAGCTGCTCTGGTTTGAAAACTGTGCGGACCCTCTTCATCTTACAGGGCCCCCTGGATCTCCAAGGAACAGAAGGCCCCAGCGAGACAGCTCCTACGCAACCAGAAAACTCCAGACCTACGAGCAAGGGGCAAGAGTCAGCAAGGCAAAACACAGAAACAGCCCAATTTGCCTTGCAGGAAATGCCTGACACATGTACAGAAAGAAAGCACCCGTCACAGCCCTTGTTAACTCTCCTTAGGGTGGGTGAATGTGTTTTACCTGCTCCAAACCCTACTAGCTACAGTGGCTGGTTTCGGAGCATGGCTGATCCAGTCCACAGGGGCTAAGGAGGGATGGAAGAGAAGGAACAGTAATGCCCTGAGGAAAGAAACAGCCTCTGCCAGCCAGTATAACCCTTCATTGACAGAGGGCCGACCCTGGTCCCAAGGAAGTCGGTGCGTGAGTGAGGCGAGCCGGATTTGACCCGCTCCATGCATTGCTTATACTGGAAGTTCTTGTTCAGGGCCGGATCCAGCAAACACTACGATTCAGTGGGATTGCTTGAGAGTAAAGATAATATTGTGCTTATGTACTGGGGAGCTGGATTGTAAATTCTCTATGGCAAGGTGTGTCTTGGGTCCTGCATGGTCCCATGTATATTGCTGGCATAACAATAATTACTATATTATTCAGAAGTGTCTGGTTGGTATAATAGTATGGAATTCTTAATAAAAAATCATCAAACTACACTAACTCAAGAACGGGCAACATTGCTTCTCAGGCCCTGATCTGCCAACTCTTTCCCACACGCTTCGAATTCTTACACAAAATAAATGCAGGGCTTGGGCCTGCCGCCTTACTCACATGAGTAAGCCTTACTTATGTGAGTCAGCCCCTGACTTCAGGGATCCCCATAACCCAGGAGGGTTGCAGGATGGGGGCCTTTGCATAATGAATAAGTGGGAGTTTTCTGAATTTTGAATCCATCTCTCCTAAGTCTAGGATTGTTAGGGTCCGAGGTGTTGGTTCTGCCTGTGCTTTGGATCTGGGTTCCGATTTTGACCACCCCAGAGTGTGGAGGGCTGGAGGCAGAGGGTTTGCAGTCAGGCCCCTTGCTAATAAATAGTTACACTGGAAAGCCCTGATCCTGCAGTTGGATCCACATGTGTGGGTCCCTGTTCCCCTACTGAGCCCCACTGACTTTAGAGGGGCTCTGCAAACGCATAGGGATCCACCTGCATGGATCAGCCTGTGGGATCATGGTCCGATATGATCATGGTAGGAGTTAAAAAGGTTTCCAAGTATCAAAATATAGTCTATATAAACCACTGGGAACTTGAAATGTCGATATTAAAATGTTTCTGACCATAAAAATAGGTAGACTGCAGTTATAAATTGTTAGAATTATAGGCCTTGATCCTGCAAATTCTTCTGCAAATGCTTAACTTTATGCACAAGAGCAATCTCATTGGGTCAATGGGATTACTCCAGTGGAAAGCTTGCATCCGAAGAAGTGGGTTGTAGCCCATGAAAGCTTATACTCTAATAAATTTGTTAGTCTCTAAGGTGCCACAAGTACTCCTGTTCTTTTTGAGGATACAGACTAACACGGCTGCTACTCTGAAACAGGTGTGTTATGTGTCTGCAAGATCAGGGCCGTTGTTTTAGTCATTAAGATATAATATTTGTAACTGTTATAGCTATAAAAACATGCTCGGAGAATAAACTAATGTGTGATGATAGCTGTTTAAAATATCTGAGTGTATAAACACTATAATGTAGGGCCAGATTCTCTGCTGGTATAAATCAATGTTAGTTTGACTTGAGCCTGTTTACACCAGAAGAGCTGTCATATAATAACTAAGTTATGATATATTTATTATAGTAGTAAATAGGATTTGGAGTTAAATCATTTATAAAATCATTTTGCAAATTGCCCGAGCATACTGTCACCACCTAGCAATATAATTATAATGTAATATATAAATGTACAGATATGAAACGGTCTAAGAAAAGAGATAATAAGAATTACATACCTACATTAAATAGTTTTAAAAGGCTTCTGAGTATAAACAAAACTTTTAGTATCTAAATCCTAAAAAACTCTAGGGCTCAAATCTTGGTTTCTTATGCGGGCAAAAATCTGCATTGATTTAGGTGGGTAGTTTTGCCTCTGTTACCAACCATGGGATTGGCCCCTGCACGCTCTATGATAATAAATTTCAATGGGCCACAGTGCACCATGTATTTTTAAGCGAGGCTACTCATTGAGATAAAGGGTTAATTTTGCTTAAAAATCAATGATACCATATGGTTTGATGTAAATACAGAGGAGACAGGAACATACACACACTGAACTAAAATCTGCCCTCTGTTACAGCAATCCAACTCCATGGGTCTCTGGTTCTGCCCAGGAAACCCAAATTCATCTGATACTTTAAAAACAAAAATCTCTTTTTGCCCTAGGTGCATGTGCATTAAAAAGCCTCACAAACTTTGGAGTCAGATTCTGCAAACACATGTGAGAAGAATTTTACTCAGATGAGTAGTTCCAACTGCAGCAAAGTTATTCACACACAAATCTGCAGGATCAGCCCCTAAGAAAATAAACCCCAAACCATGGGCTCGCTTCACCCATCAGCTTCTCAGGATTAATAAGCATCAGCCCCTTTAACCCAGAAACAGAAATAAATATTGGGAAATTACTGTGCTCTTTCCTACCCCCGCCACTGCCACACACAGAAACTGAGCAGAGTCTGGAAACTTCAGGAAATTAAACTGAGCTTCTGTCTGTGACTGCATCAGTGCCCACAACAAAGTAGCTGGGGATGGGGTGTGAGATGCACCCCGAAAATCTCAGGGGTCCTAAAAGAATTTTTAAAATAAACCTTTTGGGTTTTCTACTAGTTTGGTTTAGTACAGGAAAAGTCAAAGCTCTGAGGGTCACAGTTTGCTCCTGCCCAGTCCTGAGTCTGTATCTCTTGCCAACCTCCCTAAAGTTTAAGGCAGAACGCTTGCTATCCTCCAGACGACCCCTTACAGCTCCACAGACACGGCTTCCCCTTCTCGAGGTCCCTTCCAGTCCTATGATTCTATGACACGCTGCATATAAAAATAATAATACCTAGTTCCTATACAGGACATCTGCCACACACCCTCTACCCACATAGACATACAAACCAACCTCCACACAAACGACACCAAGACAGAATCACCTCATGCACAGATAGACACATACAAATACACTGGCAGAAATGGGTCAGAACCATACACCCCTCACCCACCACAGTACATGTGCACACATACTGAATGGAAACACCCTAAAGTTTAGAGAGACAGACACACACACACGCACCCTATACACAACCCAGGTATGCCTCACACATGCAGACATGCCACATACCCGTACACCCCTCATTCCTCCAAACATGTACATACACATCAGACAGCAACACCCCATTCACAGATCCAGACGGAGAACCATTAGCACTATAATTGTTGTATTGGGGATCCCCTTTCACACAGCAAGCCTCTGAGTGCAACCCCCCCCCATTATAAATTAAAAACACATGTTTTCATATTGAATACTATTATAAACGCTGGAGGCAAAGTGGGGTTTGGGGGTGGAGGCTGACAGCACATGACCCCCATGTAATAACCTTGTGACCCCAAGTTTGAGAACCCCTGAGGCAGACCACCACTCCCACTCCCACACTGACAGAAACACCCCAGACACATACACAAACCGGGCACAGACACCCCATGCATGCGTTCACCCCCATACACACTAGACAGAAACACCCTAGGAACAGACACACAGACACACCCCTCCCTCCACACACACACCCCCCAGAACACACGCACCCACTCACCCCTGTAGCCCTTCCAGTTTAAACACTACTTACTGTCTTGCTTACAGCTGGGATAAGAGAACAGGCAGCCCCTCTGCAGCTGCTGGTGCTGGTGCAGAACCCCATAGCCCGGCTTATCCAGGTACATGGCTGGGTAGGGCATGAGGCCAATGGAGTAGGTGGCTGGGTAAATCCAGCTGTGCCACTCCAGAGGCAGCTTGGAGGACCATCTGGCAGAGGCAGCGCCTTTCTTCTGGGGCTCTGGCTTGGAGAGGATGGCGTCAATGTTAAAAGGGGTCTTCCGAGGGAGCTGGGGAACATCTGGAGAAGCTGGGGGGCCAGATGAGTCTGTTGCTGCTGCCAGGATGTTGTTGAGCAGACCTGGGAAGACCGGCTTCTGGAGCATGTTCAGTCAGCAGATCTGTGGCTGATGGTCAGACTGGGACTTAGCCGCTTCCAGATGCGGTGCAAGCTGCACTCTCCCAGCCCGGGCCTCAGCCTGCTAGCTGGCTCTTTATACACAGGAAGGGCCCAAGGTGGCTTTATAGCGAGGGCTTCCCCTGTGAAGTGTAAATAAGACATTAATATGCAAAGCAGGCTGCAGCTGGGTGGAGAAAGGAGAGGCTGTTCCAAGGCCTGATGCTCTGCTGGGTGCCTGTAGGACAGGGAGTGTCTCTGGGCTGGGACAGGCAGGGGACAGCCTAGCATGGCCTATGACAAGGGCCAGGTCTGCTTGGAATGATCAAATTGGAATGGGAAGGGAGGTCTCACATCCCGTACAAATACACACACACACACACAACGTGCATCTAAAAGCCCCCCCACAAATATACACACTATAAATACAAGCGTAGACGCATACACAACACACGCACCACACCTAGATACAAAAGTACAGAGAATGACACACAAACATCCACACGATACATGTAAAAATACGGTCATACCCACAATATAAACACAGAAATGCACAGACACATGAACACACACACACACAAACACACATCACCACAAATATATACATACAAATATCTGCACGCACGCACACACACAATGTGTATACGTGCACCCGTCTGTACGCGCTAATGCACCTAAACACACACAAGTCTCTGTGCAAGAGGGGGCTGAGATATGGAGCCGAAACTCACTGTTAATTTGCAACCTGTTATTTCAGTGTGTGTGTGTGTGTGTGTGTGTACACTGGTGTGTGTAATTGTGCGCATGTCTCTGTACTGTTCCATCCACATCCTAGGGCTGATTCCTGCTTCCTGGTTGCCTTTCTACTGTCACACAAGGCAGGAAGCACCAATGTTCCCTCGGAAGCTGGGGGTTTTCAGAGCCCTTTCCAGCTCTTTATCCTTTTTGGTCTCTCTCTTCATTCTGTCACCCTCAAGAAAATGCATCTTCCATTGCTGATGTCTGAGTCCTGGCAGTCTGTGCCTGCAAGCCCTAGATTTGTTTGGTGCAGACATCAGAGGCTACGAGCCTTTTGGCTTTAACTTGAAAATAAAACCTAGATATATGTAGAAGTGTGTGTGTACTAACAAACCTGCCTTAAAGTGGGCACAAATGTAAATGTCCGTATTAAAGCTCCGTTACGCTGTCAGAGCCGTGTATATGCGCCTTACTGTAAAAGAGAATCAGACTGAGTATTTCAGGGCAAATGTAAATCAAGAAACTCTATTGGAATACTATTAGATGATGTCGTTCGTAAGGAAATATCCGGGGCATGGGTGTCCAGGCAAGAACCTAGAGAGAGAGAGAGATGATAACCAGGTGCTGGTACAAAAGAATCCATCAGCTTTTTCTGTAAAGAGTTTACTTCTCCCATTTAGCAAGCTGCCTTCCGTGACAATTTGGAAATACGTGAATAAAAAAAATACAGCTGAGGTTTTATTGCTCCTTGTTACAATGTAAGGCCCCAGTCCTGCAAACCCTTCCTAACTGAAGTCACGTGCTTGAAGTTAGGGCATATGCTTAAGCCGCTTGCAAAATTGGAGACTCTGGCAATAAAAAATAGACTTCCAAACTCTGCAGAGACTGATGTTTTCCAGTTCTAGTTCCTCTTTGATGTTTTGCAATAAGTTTGCAGGGTCAATAGTCTGTTACTCTTGTCCAACTTTTAAATTCCAGATAATGTAACTTGTTCTGGTTAGCATCTTTAATATTCTCTATCTAATGATTAATAACTCTTATAATTATTGCACATTATATAAGTATAAGGAAAGCATATAGTTACTGAAAATAATAACTATTATGTGGAATAAAATCCTCTGAAATATTTGCAAATAAATACAAAACTTAAATGGAGAAAATAGAATTTTTCCTTGTGCAAACTTCAAAGAGAACCTGATAATTTATTTTAATATATACATATATTTAATGTAGCTATAATTAATTACTATTATAAAAATGACAATACATTAATAATAATGGCCCTCAGCCCATCTGCTTTTAAACAGATCTCTCTAGTGATTTGATATTGATAGAATAATACATAGCCCAATATTAGAATACAGATAGAGAGGTGTGAATGGGGATTGATGGATGGATGGATGAATGAGAAAAAAATGTATACTAACTTCTTTCACACAAGGCATCACATACAAATTAATAAAG